GAGACAAGAATCTTCAAGTCCAATGATATACAGGAAGGCTTCAGTATGGGACCAAGTGAGATTAAATGCAAGAAAGCCAGTTAGTGTGTCCTGCCATGTTAATAGATGCAAGGACAAAGGGCAAAAGCCACCTCTCAAAAGATTTTGACAGAATGTAACATTCATTCATGATCAAGACTCAAAAAATAGAAAAGAATTTGCTCAACCCAATAAAAGGAACCCATAAAAAGTCTACAGCTAACATCACACTTAATGGTGGAAGCACAACTACACTCCCTCCAGGATCTAGGATGGCAGAGGTATCTACTCTCATCCTATCTATTCAACATTGTACTCTAAGTTATAGCCCTGCAGTCAAACAAGAAAAATTAAAAGCATCCTAGTGGGAAAGGAAGAGATGAAATTGTATTTGCAGGTGACATGATTCTTTGTCAAAAATCGTAAGGGCTAAAGAGTTCAGCAAAATTGCAAGATCTGTATACAAAAATCAAATGCATTTCTATATATTCAGTGAATATCTGAAATGAAATTAATTCCATCCACAATAGCACAGTCCCTGTCAGAATACCAGCAGGCTTTGTTGCAGGAATTGGCAAACATATCCTAAAATTTTTACGGAAATGGAAAGGATTCATAATAGGCAAAAAATATATTGAAAAATAAATTTGTAGAACTTCTGATTTCAAAATTAAATCTACAACAATCAGGATAACATTGTACTGGTGTAAGGACATATTGAGAAAATCCATCTCAATGAAGCAATCGAGAGTCCTGACATTAGCCTTAAATTCATGGTCAGTTGGTTTTTCTCAGTGGTACCAAGAATTAAGTGGAGGAAAGATTGCCTTTTTAACAGATGCAGCTGGAAGAATGGGACATCCACATGCAAACGGGAATTTAGACCCTTCATTATACATAAAAATGAACTCAAGATGGACCACAGACTCAAGTGTAAGAGCTGAAAGTACAGAACTTAGAGAAGTTTTCATGACTTTGGGTTTGACAAAGATTTCTTATATACACCAAATGCACAATCCATAAAAGGTAACATAGATAAATTAGACTTCATCAGAATTGAAAGCTTGTGTGTGTCATTAGACACTTAAAGGAAATGAGGAAACAAGCCACAATCTGGAAGAACATACTGCAAATCCTATGGAAGGATCCGTTTCTAGAATATATAAAGAACTCTGTAACAAGAAGGCAAGAAGAACAAGAAGTGTGCAGAGGATGTGCATAGACTGCTTTCCAAGAAGGTGTGCAAGTGGCCAGTAAACTCCCAAAGGTCACTGTCCACCGTCCTCAGGCATGCAGGGGAAACGGAGGCATCACTTCCTGTCCTGGAGTGGCTGGCATCCAGAGGACGGGCGATGGTGATGCAGTTGGTGAAGTTGCAGAGCAGCAGCTCCCCTTTTGCAAAGCAGGTAAGCAGTTTGCTAAAAAGTTAATATAAATGTACCATAGGGTTCAAGGCTCCTATATGTGAGTTGAAAAGATGTCTAAGAAAACCTGTGACCAGATGTTTATATTCCTCATAGTTCAGAGCAGAAATAACCCAGATTCCCACCAGCCAAGGAGTAGACACAGTATGCTGTGCCCATATGATGGGACTGCTGGGGAGACGCAGCCATGGGTGCCAGCAGCCGGCAGGGAGGCCATGCAGTGTGACCGCATCTCTGTGAAGTGTCCTACAGAGGACACTGGCCTGAAAAGCGGGGTCCTGGTTATGGGCAGGCCAGGCATGGGGCCACCTGCACAGGAGCAGGTGAGGGAACCGTGACCTTGGGTGTGGTGGTGGGAGCACAACTCCATAAGTTTGCTCAAGCGGGTGCTCACCCGGTGTAAACAGTTCATGATATGTGTCCATTAGACCTCGGAGAAGCTGCCTGAAGACCCCTGAGACAAGGCCGACTTCCAAGAAGGGAAGGCAGGCGAGTGGCAGGTCTGGTGCTGTCTGGTGGGTGTGAGCCCACGGGCAGACCCGCTCTGGTGCCATGGCTCTAGGCAGAGCCCAGGGGCAGCAACATGTGAGATGGCGACACTGCCAGTGGCACTGGCCTCCTTGGTGCCGGGTCACACTCTGGTCATGCTCTCGGCTGCTAATTTGGGCTGCTCATCTTGAGCTGCCCCCAGAGTCCCTGCTGACTATGTTTGGAGATGACATTGAAATGGCAAGTTTGCAAACATGGCTTAGCTGGAGAAACATCCCTGAAGAGGCTGTGGCCCCTGGCAGATGATTGTCACCTTGTAGATCCACCGTGTGACAATGACACTGCCATAAAGCACACCGGTAGCAGCCACGGGTCTCCTGTCACCTAACTGAAAGGCAGACACATGCAGCTCCTCCCAGTGGAGCCAGGGGAGTGGTTAGCATTCCACTGTTATCTGGGAGATGAGTGTGAGAGTGCCGCACACCAGTGCCATGTGGCACCGGGGCCTCTGACCAAGCAGGAAGGGCTGGCCATGTGTCCTCCAGGAAAGCTTACTGGGAGGCTTGGGAGGAGAAAATGAGGCGTCTCCTCAGTTCAGGGCCCAGGCCGACTTGCAAGGAGCCCTCTCCCCCTCTCCCACCTCTGGCCCCTCCATGAGGCAGTGACTCCTTCCCTGTGCCAGGTAGGGCAGAGGAGTTGGAACTTGGCAGCCATTGCTGCACCAATGTCTGTTCTGAGGCCTCCTGCCCTCTACAAGGACTATCGGATGCCCTTGGTCTTGCCAGGCTCTGCGAAGCACCCGTTGTGAGTGTGCCAGGACGGCACTGGCCAAGCAGCTGCACTTCAGTCAAGAGAAATAGAGCCGAACACTCATTAAAGGTGATGGAAACAGGCTTCACCCAGTGCTCCCATAATGGCATTGCAGTACGTGTTCAATTTCCAAATGCAAGATGGGTGGGGATTTATGTTCAAGAAGCAGAGTTGGGAGTGGGGTGCATGGAAAACTACTAAGAGGGGGCATCAAGGGCTGGGGGATTCTTGCTGAAGGCAACCCAGGGTGATCAGCCCCAGGGTAGGGGATGCCTTAGTGGGATTCTCTGCTAAGACGGGCTAAGGAAGGCCAAGGGCAGGGCCCAAGGATGCGGCGGAGGCAGGAAGAGGGCCCAGAGGAGCCTACATTCTGTCAGGACACGGGAGGAAATGTGGAGAAGATTGTGCTCAAGTTTCGGTGGGGAATGAATGAGAGAGCGGAGTATGTTAGGGAGTCAGGGAGCGGGGGCTCAGGCAGGGTGGGGAGGCCCCCGGAGGCCCTCCTGGGACTGCTCACATCCTCGAGTGGGAAAGCTGCCCAGCTGAGCTGTGATCACCCAGGGCATGTAAAGCTGATTAGCAGATGCCTGCATTCTGGGCACCCTCAGATGCCAGGAAGGAAGTCTGGTATGAACTGATGCTGCATGTCCCAGTGGGGATTTGGGGTCACCTAAGTCTGTTTCTGGGCTTCCACCTATAGCTGTTCGTGTGCTTGGTGGGGGAAAATGTGTGTAGGGTGGGGGCTTGGTTCCAGCCGAGCAGGAGAGGGTGCTGAGCGTCCTTATCCCTCTCACGGCACCTGTAGTCCCCGCCCACCTTTAGGAGCAGCCAGTGAGATGGGGTGAGAGGTGAACAAGCTCATGGACAGGAGGGTCCTGGGAAGCCCCTGAAGCCTGGTTGAGGACAGTGGATAAGGTGTCCCACACAGGTATCTCCAGAGCACGGTCCCCTCTCACACACATTCAGAGCAGCACCGTGGGGTTGGAGGGCCCTGGTGAGGAGGGGTGCCTGTACACTGGCCTCCTGGGCTGTGCTCTTCCAGATCTCCCTTCTGGGAAGGCTGCCCGCCTGCACCCTGGTCCCTGTGTGCGCTGCTCTTCTGGGAAGGGCGCTCAGCTCTTCCTGAGCATGCGGTATTTACCCAAATAACCGGGGCTTTCTCTGGTGGGCAGGTGGATGTAAAAGGAATGCCCTCTGCTTTGCTCACTGATAGGATAGAAGAGGAAAGCCAAAACAGATCAACGTAGTCTTAATGGTATCTGGAGTTTAGCCACATTCCATTCATCTTATTTTTGAGCTTTAACAAGTCAGGGAGCACACATGCAAGATTCATAGCTCTTCTCAATTTTATTTTCCTATTCACCTTTAAATTCCCTTAGTCTTAAAGAGCACAGTGAGTGAGTGGAGGCACTGGCGGCCAGGATCAGTTCTTGCAGTTTCCACCTGTCATGGGCTATGCCCAGTGCGCCGACAGCCTCCAGCCCCACAGGTGCGAAGACAGCCTCCAGCCTGGCGGGCGGCTCCCTTTGAATGGAGTTGCGCGTTTCCGTGGCTTCCCTCGGGGCTGGGCGGGACCCAGGGAGCAGGGCGCACGGGGTGTCCGAGGGCAGGCTGGGAGCCTGTCTTCATTTATACGTTTGATGTGTTGCTTACCATAAGCTTTACAACGTTGATTTTGACTTTTAAAAATATTACATTGGAATATGCTTTATCTCGGTCACTGAGTGCGGAGTGCTGCGGCGCAAACTCCCTCGGTTCTCGCCTGGGCGAGCGCCTCACCCGCCGGACCGGGCCGGCGCCCACCGCGACAGCCCCAGGGCTCCAGCCTCCCGGTCCCTGGAGGGGTCTTCTGGCCTCTCGCGTCCGTCCCACGGGACCCCGGGCCCGCGCTCGCAGCCGCCTCCTCCCTCGCCGGTGTCTGTCCCGCGAAGGTGTCCCCCGCCCGTGCTCACCGCCACCCTCGACTCCCGCTGCTGACAGCCCCCTGCGCTTACCGCCACCGCCGCCGCCGCCTGCAGGTGTCCCCGCGCTCGCACCGCACCATGGTGGATGTGTTGGGCGGGCGACGCCTGGTGACCCGCGACGGCGCGTGGGTGGAGGCCGAGGCGGCGCTGCAGAACAAAGTCGTGGCGCTGTACTTCGCCGCGGGCCGGTGCGCACCCAGCCGCGACTTCACGCCGCTGCTCAGCAGGTTCTACGAGGCGCTGGTGGACGAGGCGCGCCCCCCTGCGCCCTTCGAGGTGGTCTTCGTGTCGGCGGACGACAGCGCGCAGGACATGCTGGCCTTCATGAGCGAGCTGCACGGCGCCTGGCTGGCGCTGCCCTTCCAGGATCCGCTGAGGCAGTGAGTGGGCCGCCCGCGTGCCTCCCCTGCAGGGGGCCTCTGGGACACTCCTCACACCCCCCACAAGGCATCTCTCACCAACCACCGCATCCCCCTGCCCACCCCTTCGCGTTCGGCCTCATCCGGGGGCATCCATATCTCCAGGGGCTTGTGGAGCCCCGACCTGGCCCTCCGCAGCCTCTAGCTCGGGGTTCTGGGGCTCAGGGTTCTGGGGCTCAGGGATCTGCATTTCTAACTCTCCGGGTGCGTTGTGCGGGGGTGCTGCGGGACCTGCGGGGCGCAGGGCGGAACTCCGGAGCTGCAGGAACCCAGACCTGGCCTCATGGCGGCCTCCCTTTTGCGTGTGGGGACTGGGATTTCCTAACGGTACAGGCGTTTGCTGCTTCTGTAACTGTAGGAAGGACCAGGTTTCCGACTCCTGAGCAAGCAGGTGTCAGGTGACAGCAACCCCCGCCCTCTGAAGGGTCCCGCCCACCCTCGCTTAGAAAAGATTCTGCAATGGGGGGGCGGGGGTGCCTTGATGAACTAGAAATGGAGCCGGCTCTTCACTGGCTGGGGTCCTGGGCTCCACGGAGGGAATGGGAAGGGGTGAAAGGTGGGGGGGGGGGGGGGGGGGGGGGGGGGGGGGGGGATGGGTACACGGATGAATGGATGGTGGGTGGGTGCCAGAGATGGATGTGGGAGGACTGGGGGAGGAGGCAGAGGCGTGATGGCTGCAGGTGTGGGGGTGTCGGGGTCCCGCTCCCTGCTGTGAGCGCAGACCTGGTTAAGTGGCCTTTACAAAGTGCCTTAGCCCACCATCCCCTGAGTGCATGTGCCGGTGAATTTCTGGGTTAGTTTCAGAGGGGTCTGTGTTGCATTTTTCTAGGGATTTCTAGGCATTACTCCCCACCCCATCCCGCCCCATTAATTATCCTGAGATGACATTCCTTCTGGACAGTTAAAATGGAAGCTGACTCTGGAACTTTCCAGGGGAAGGAATTCCTCTGGAAACACAGGCTGTGGGTGAGGCTGAGAAAGCCCATGGTCCGGGCCCTCAGGGGGATGGCTGCTTCCCCAGGCCTCACCCTGCAGGACTGGAAAAAATCTTAGGCATGATAAATCTAAGTGACAGTGACAATGAATCTAAATAACAACTAACGTGATAAATCTAAGTGATTTATTCGGATTCATTACAGCCTCTCCTCTGTGGTGGTTGTGAAATGTGTTTTGATTGGCTTAGTGCTCAAGTTATACACAGACTTTAAACACCTCATTCTGAAAGTGGCAGAGGGACCGTGTTAGAAATCAGACAAAGAGTTCCAGCCCTGGGCAGCGCCCAGCTCTGGGATTCACTCGTGGATTGACCACAGGCAAGGCATTTAATTGCCCATGATGGTGACACATCATGCGACAAACGATGAAGCACAGGCACCTGAATTCTGAGGCACTCTGCAACCTGCAACCATTGGCCCGTTTCACAGGGGTGCCACTGAGGTGCAGCGACCAGTCCTACCCGACTCTGGAAGCTTCCAATCTACAGAGAGCCTCAGCAGCATGGCCTTGATGGGGAGGGCCTGGCAGGGCCCCCTTCTGTGTCCTCCTTGATCCGTCAAAGCCCCCAAGGTCCACTCAGGCAGCTGAGCAGCTCAGGACCGAGAGGAGTCCCAGCCACCTCAGCCCTCCAGCCTCTCCCTAGGAGCCGGTGTTGGTATTTCTTCTGGGGAGTGTAGCTCCTTCTCCGTCCCGCTTCCCAGGCTGAACATCATTACCCTGTCATTGCTATCTGTATGGTAGGAAGCAGGCCCCTCTGTGGGCCTTTCCAGGGCTCTGTCCTAAATTCTGCTGACCTTGGATTTATGGAATCAGATCATGAGTGAAGTGTAAGTAGCTGTTACTAAGGAAAACTAAAGGCCTTTTGGGAAGTTCCTGATGTGTGCAGAACACCGCACTCTGCTTGGTGCCATGGGAAGGTGGGTCTGGGCAGTGGTTACCTGCGCCTGACTTGCTCAGTCATGGTGAGTGGCCAAAACTGCTTCATCCACTTTCCCCTGGATGTCCTGTGACCACCTGAGTCTCTGGACAAGGAGGAGAAATCCCCACAAAGCCCCCTGGGGCCCCCTTGGGTGGGGCCGGCAGCAGGAGGGCTGCAGATGAAACACCCAGAGCCACTCACCAAGTCCCAGAGTTGCAGAGATGTTGGCTTTCCAGGGAAGCTGCCACAAGCGAGGTGCCAGTCGCTGCTCTCCTGCCAAGATGGTAATGTTTCCTGCCCCCCACAGCTGAGAGTACTCATCTCCTCTCCCCTTGCCTCCTTCCCAGCCCCATGTTCCAGATCCTCCTGGGCCTCCTGACAACACGGCCATGTGGGCACCGAATCCAGATTCCATCTGTCTACCTCCTTCATTGAGGCCCTGGGCCACCTGCCTGCTCTAACTGGGGCTCCTGGCCTCGGGACCCACATCCTGGGCCCCATTTCACACTGGCCTCACTCCTAAGAGGCCGGCCCACCAGCTCCCAGTGCTCCTGCTGCCCATGGGGCTCAGTCCCATCTTGCCTGCCCTCCAGTGTCTGACCCACACTCACCTCCTGCCCCAGCCTCCTGTTACCCCCTTTCCAGAATGGACAACTGATGTTCCAGAATGTTCCACATACTTTCCCACCTCCAGAGGCTGTACACATGCCAACCCCCAAGCCTGGAGCCCCCACTTCTCTGGCAGCCCGCACTCCTCTGTGCCCCTGGAGACACCTGGGGAGGCCTGTGCCCTTCACAGCTTGAGCCCAGTGCCACCCCCTATTAGGAGAGTGTGTTTGGAGGTCTCTTTGGCCCCAAGATTGGACCAGACTTTGTTCAGTGTTTGGTGCCTGGCGGGAGCTTGTTTGATGGATGGTTGGTACAAGTAGGGAGATCTGATGGTGGCCATGTTGGAGAGAGACAGGAGCCAGAAGTTGCCATGACAACCCAGAGTGGTGGCGCCAGGAACAAGGCTGCACTGTGTCAGGTAAAGGAGGGCAGCACATTGCAACAGTGCCCAGCACTGAGGGCAAGGGAGAGCTGGGCTCCCGCATTTCCCCGAGGTGTTGAAAATGCTGTCACCACACCTCCGTTTGGCCTGCCTCAGACTCTGTCCTTTCCAAGGCAGAGTGTGTTCTCTGTGGACACAGTGCCTAAGGGGATGGAGGCAACTTCTGGGGAGGAGGTGGTTAGGCACCTCTCCTGTGTGGCTCCAGGGCTACCGCTGTCCCCAGGCAGATGCTGCCAGGGTGGGGATTTGTTGGCCACACTGGTGACTCTTTGAAGATAAACTGGAGCAACTAAATGCCTGTTCCAAAGCCTAGCTTTTCTGGCATCCTCCTGACTGTGTGAGAGCTTTATTTAATGTTGCAAGTGATTAAAACAATGAGAGCAATTCAAAGCTTAAACAATAGAGGTTATTGATCATCAGCTTAACTGAACCACCCACAGCCAGGAGCTGGTCTCAATGGAGGTGGGAGGCCACTGAGGACACAATTTCATGACTCTGCTTTCTGCCACTCTTGCTTCTTTTTTTTTTTTTTCCCCATGGCTTTTTCCCATTTTATTTTATTTTATTTTATTATTTTTTTTGAGAGGGCATCTCTCATATTTATTGATCAAATGGTCGTTAACAACAATAAAAATCAGTATAGGGGGGTCAACGCTCAATGTACAATCATTAATCCATCTCAAGCCAAATCTCGTCAGTCTCCAATCTTCTGAAGCATAACGAACAAGTTCTTACATGGTGAACGAATTCTTACATAGTGAATAAATTCTTACATGGTGAACAGTACAAGGGCAGTCATCACAGAAACTTTCGGTTTTGATCATGCAATATGACCTATAAACAATCAGGTCAAATATGAATATTCGTTTGATTTTTGTACTTGATTTATATGTTGATCCCACATTTCTCCTATTATTATTATTATTTTTATTTTTAATAAAATGCTGAAGTGGTAGGTAGATGCAAGATAAAGGTAGAAAACATAGTTTAGTGCTGTAAGAAGGCAAATGTAGATGATCAGATGATCAGGTGTGTGCCTATGGACCAAGTATTAATCCAGGCTAGACAAGGGCAGCAAGACATCCACGGATGCAGAAGATTTCTCTCAAAGCAGGGGGCGTGAGGTTCTGAGCCTCACCTCTGTTGATCCCCAAATTCTCACCTGATGGCCCCCCTGCGACTGTGCCTGTCTTAGGTTGTTCCTCCCTTGAGGAATCTTACCCGTCTCTGGCTAACCAGTCATCTTCCGGGGCCATACAGGGAAATGTAAAGTTGGTAAGTGAGAGAGAAGCCATATTGTTTGCAAAGGTTAGCTTTTTACTTTGCAGATTTATGCCCTGTGGCTTCTATACCCAGCACTTGTCTCGAGGTATCTTTACCACCTGGAGGAATTATGATACTCGGTAAATTCGATATGAGGCACGAATTCTATTTAAGGATTGTAATTAGGAAGGAAGAAGAAAAGCTATAGATGTAGCATATGAAGGAAACATGGGAGGATTGATTATTTCTTTGACATATCTTCTTGTAGAGTACCTTAAGTATGTATAGGTTTTAAACTACTAACTAATTTGTACACACATATTAACATAATAGGAATACGGTGACATAAACAAAGCAAATCTATAATTACCATCCATCTCCAGTGAAGACACACTCTTGCTTCTTGACAGGCTGTAGCCAGTTGCTACCTGGCAAATCCAGTCCGCCCTCATGGCAGCAGAGTGGCTGTGTCTCAGGCTGCGCATCTTCACACCTTCCTCTTTCCCAGCACACAGGGAAGCACTCCGCAGGTCTCCGCGGTTCTGAGTCAGCTAGTTACTCATTCTGGTGCTGGTTAGTGTAACCAGGGTCAAGGGATGTGCTGACTGGGCGGTGGCCCATCTGGAATTGGGAGTGGGTCCTTCCCATCAATAAGAAGGGCCAGTGTTTTTGATAATTTATGTTCCAAGTCCTTGCTAAACTGTACATAGATGAATCACTTAATCCTCACAA